TATATCCATGGTATAAAATATTCCTTTATTTTTGCAATATTGTGTTCAGTCTGTACTGTAAAGTAGATTATATTCTCTCTATACCCAAAATTGTGAATAAAATACCTCATCTTCTCCTGACTCGTGATCACCACCTTCTTGCAAAATCAAACTGCCTTATAATTAATTACCAAACTTTTTTTTTTTTTTTCATCTTTTAGGGATATCTTTGGCTTAGTGGAGCTTCACAAAAGGACATTTAATTTGATGTTAAATTTTATGCATATTTTTTTTTCATGGTGTGTGTGTGTCACATGTGCATATGTTGTTGCCATAGTGTACTGGAAAATTCATTATTACAATTATAACTATTCTAATGAATTATTACTATTGAGCTTATATTGATATTGATATATGTCTCTAGCAATTGGTGTTCTTTACTTTTTGTCCAACACTAGTTTTCTAACATTTTGGCCCAATTATTTTTTTCCTATTATAGAAACTAGCTACCTCTCACTTGAAAGAGTACTCTATGTTGGGCATTAAATTATGAAAAGAAAAATGAGAATGAATTATTAATTTAGAGGCAAAGTATAGTTACTTATTTATTTATTTATTTGCAATAGTATAAAGTGATATGGTTTATTATACCAAGGAATAGAGCTCGTGCGAAATGAGAGTAGCTCGATCGGGCAGTTAGAGTTGGCTGATAGCTCAATTAGAAGTCGGACAACATTAAGGATCGAGGTAGGGAAAATATCAGGTCTATGAACCTTAAAAGTAAATTGATCGATTCAACAACAACTCGAGCTATGACTTGAGAATAGTGTGATAAAAATTCGGCGTGGAAGTGGAGAGGTCGATGAAGGAGCTCAATGGGAGAGTAGTTCAACAAAGACCGGAACGGTTAGATATAGAATGAACCATATTGTTGGCTCGACTATGCCTAGTACGACTACCTAATTAATGAGGTAGAATAGTGTGAACATATAGATAACAATTAAGTATGGACACAATTAGGATAAAAATAACATGTGAATATATAACATAATTGCTTTGGCTACAAGATTGAACAGTCCGAGAACTCGGGTAGTGAGATTGGACAGTCCAAAAACTCGCACAACAAGATCGTGCAGATCTTTGGCAACAAGGTAATTTTTCTGTACAAGGGGGTGATGTATAATCACCATTCTCTCTCTACACTCTCTGGACATTCTAGTTCACTATACAACATATACATCATCACTCTCAGATACTGACTTGAGCATTGGAATTTCTACGATGAGACAACCCCAACACTGTTTTTCATGCCATTTGAACGGTTCAAGGACGTTCCAAATACATCGGACCAGATCGAAATTGTTTATACACCACGAAGATTTTACAAAAATAAAATAATTCCCATTTCTAACTTTTACGTTGAAAGAACACTAACCAAAAGTTGGAACCAAAAAATATGAAAATAATATTGCAATAAGAATTTTTGTCGCATTGTTTAGAGCTCAATCGTAAAAACAATGAAGGCCTTTCGTGAATGGCAGAAGGCTAGCAGCATATGTATGAATCCCAAAGTTGAAGATGAATGACCCAAAATCCAAAATTATTCATTTACCCCTTTGTTTAATAGCCTTTGGGCCTGTGTATGGGTATTTGATTTTATCGATGAAAGGTTAGAATATTGGGCCTTGATGGGCGATTTCTGCAAGCCTAATAAAATGGATTGATTCCATTCCTCAATAGGGCCATGTAATTGGTCAGTCCGATTCTCGCATAGCTCGCATACCGTCTTCGACCGATTCTCACTATTTTTATTTTTAGTAGTTGATTCGATCACTATTACTATGAAAACTATAAATAAAACATCTCGTCTTAGCTTAAAATTAAATAAATAAATAACTAGTTATATATAAAACTGCACTAAACGGGCAGAAATCGCTCCAGAATATACGTAACTATGACATGTCACATGTTGAAGGCTACTGAGAATCGACAACTAGAAGATTAATTCGTCCTCAAACGGGTTGAAAGAGGACGAACAAAGATCAAGTACCACCATCTGATGAGGACCCTCCATTCCTTGTAAAACGACCAAGAGATCCTCCACGGGAGATCCTTGTCCTTGATTCTTATCACTGGGACGAGGCCAGATCGTTAATGCAACGTGATTATCAAGATGATTTTAATTCTTCAGAATGCCAATCTTACCAAGACAAAGTCGATTCGTCCAAAAGCAGACCTAAACCGCGATGGGTCTCAGTTGAACACACAAATGCTCTATCTCATTCCTATCTCTCGTAGGCAACAACGAGCTTATGCTAAGCCTACAACCTTAATAAAAAAAATCAGCCAGTTACTCCCAGTGTGGCACTTTCTCATATCATGATGCTAGCCAAATCCATCACCCTCACTTAGAAGCTTAAAGCTTTAGTCATCATGGGTCCTATCTTCAACATTCTAGTCCACCGAATTATAGTGGATGCGAGGGCCTACGAGAGTTGCATATATCTAATTATCTGAATATAATTCAATATGGATGGGGTTAAGATTTATATTGCCCGAGTGAGAGGCTTTGATGGGAAAACCGCCGTTCCCTTAGGATAAATCACACTGCCGATCAGTTTCGAAGGGGATGGACCAACGGGCAAAATGATTTTGGAGACTTTCAAGATCATCGGGAATGCGATTATAATGCCATTTTGGGGGCAAACTGGACCATATAATCTTAAAGTTTTCGTATCCATCTCTCACTATGCTTTTGAAATTCACCACACCAAATGGGAAAGGAACAAACAAGAAAATGAAAAATATGGGGATCAAAGTCTTAAAAACTATAAGAATAATATCTCCATTAAGTGAGATTCACTTAATGCCACATTAAAATATTTTCGACGATTATTATTATTATTATTTTTCCGTAAATGACGATCATTTTGACTCACATATCTCTTTCGTGGCTGGTTGAATTAAAAATTCAAAAGTTGATTAGAAGTAGTGGCGATTGTCACCACCCGTGATGCATCACAAGAATATACTTGTAATCTTGTGCGCCACAATTCAAAAGCTATTATGATTTTCCTATATACGTAGATGTAGAGCTGTAAACAAGTCGAGCCCTTAACGAGCCAAACTCGACTCGTTAGCTAAACGAGTTTTAAATGAGCTCGAGCTCGACTTGTTAAGGACTCGAACTCGAGCCGAGCCAGGCTCGTTTAATTTAACAACACTACTTAGATGGTACCAAATCAAAATAACACTGTCATTAAGTAACAGAACATCGAAAAAGCTAATAATAAAAAATAAATTAAAAAAAAAAAAATAGAGGGATACTCTAAGAGACAGAAATTTTAAATCAACACACAATGGGTCGCAGATTTTTGTCCCAAGATTCAAAACCAAAGGACAACAATTCTTTGATAGAATTGAACAGGATCCCTCTCATTCCGGATAAAGGGATTTATTATAAATGGCCTAAATGACTAATATGCCCCTATCCCCTCGGTCAGGAGAAAGCCAGATTAGTTTCTCTCAAAGAGTAGAATTCATATAAAAATGCAAAAGGTTGTTGTCACCTTTATTATTTGCTAAAATCCTTAGAAAGTGACAAGATAAATATATATCATCTTTTGGTGATTAGTCATAAGCAAAACCATTATAAGGCACCAAACACCAATTATGAGTTTAGTATGGGGCCTAGTTGATAATAAAGTATAAGATAATATACATTTACAATACAACAGTCCCAATAATTCAGTCCCATGGATATTTCCAACTGTTGTGAGAAATTTCAGGATTTCCTGATCTCTTTCGTCTCTTTTTTTTCAATTTACATGCACCACACTCATGATCTTACGAGCAAATTCGAGATTTCGAACAACTTAAAGGACTGAATCTGTAAAAAGACAAATCTGTTTTTCCTAGCATAATGTAAAAGGACCTAATTTTGCCATGCAGCCACAAAAATTAAAGCAGTGATCAAATGGAGGGAGCTTACCGTATAATTCTTTTCACTTGTATGTAATAAGAACATTTATGTGTTGTACTCTGCGTTTGTGTTTAAGAAGATGGCTTTGGTCCTGCAGCTTGTTTGAAGGCAACGGTGGGAGCTATGCGGCAACTCCTCCTCTGATGCTCCACCACAAGCTGCTCGGCAAACCAGTCGAGCTTTTCCAAATTGCTTTGCTCTCCAATTTTCCTGCCGCCAAAAAGGACCGACTCTACATTCTTTTGTTTCAGCATATCGTCTGCTATCTCCACTAGCATTTTCACGTTGCTCAGGCAAGGGTCAGAGTCGATGTTGGTCCCACATTGGCCGAAGCTGGACCCATTTGCCTGCCATTTAAGAATTTCACTAATTATAAGTAAATTAATATATAAAATGTACAAAAACCATACATGCAGTTGTTTTGTTTTCCATTTGCCAGGAAAAGAATTGTTTTGACGGCAAATTGCCTTAGTAGATAACATTAACATCCCACATAGAGTTGTTAAGCAAAACGAATCGCTCGTGAGCTAGGCTCGTTAAGGCTCGAGTTCGGCTTGGCTCGTTTGATAAACGAGCCGAGCTCGAACTTGCTTAAAGCTCATTTCATAAACTAGCTGGGATCGGCTCGCCACAATAAGGCTTGAAAATAAAATTTTCACATAATTTTCTATAGTTCGGCTCAATTAAACTCGAGATCGGCTCGTTAATATTTGATAAACGAGCCGCGCTCAAACTCGATTTTTGCCTCATTTTACTTAACAGGCCGATCTGGGCTCGGCTCGTTCACATTACATCCCCCCAACTAAAATTGAAGACAGCTAGGTAAAATTTATACTTCAGGTGTAGCAAAGTTAATCACATCCAAAACTAATCATATGTCTCAACAGTTGCTAAGCTGTTTTTGGTCAATCCTCGTGTGGTCTATCACCGACATAAATATATATCTGTGTATGTCTGGCAAAGGTATAAAGAAAAAGGAGCAAGGTCCTAAAAATTTTAACACACGACTCTAGTGCTTTTATGAGAGAATGGACCATAAAAGAAGCACACCGCCTTTTCTGGTTCCAGACATATGTCCCCAAATCGCAATAGCTCTGTACTAAAATGTATTCATGATGTTAAAACCTTTACTTATTGGGGGTGTGCTGATATCACATATACCCACTTATAGGGTATACCACTATCATCAACTTTCATCAAAATGTCGAAAGGCTGATATGATATTGCAAGTTGCGTATTGTTTAGCACTTTCATCAAAATCGTCTGGCTATAGCCTTGTTAACTTCTCTACAGAAATGAAAGTTGGGAGCCAAATAAAACAAACACAACTCCATGAGTCATAACAGGTGATATTCAAATCTCCTTTCCATTTGAACATGTTTGCTTTATGACTCAGCTAGTGTAACTTTGTTTTTTTTTTTTTTTTCCATCTGAGACAAAGTTGGGCACATGTCGAAATTACCAAGAAATTGGGCACCACCAATTTTGGGTGCCATTTAATTTGGCATGAACAAACAATGTAATGTAAAACATCATCTTCAAGAGAGAAGCCTGTATAAAATGTTAATTACTGCAAAAATGTACAAAATATAAACTGGGACAGTATTTACAAGAAGCATTTTTAGTACACAACAAAAGGATTCAGTGTCGAAATACGACGTGCACCTAGCACAATTAACCCACCCAACCACCCCTACAGAAGCAAAGATAGCACAACATAAAAATAGCCCACACCAACACAAATGCTACTTCATAGGGTGAAACCTTTGAACTCAGCAATCAGAGTAATTCTAGCATCACTAAGGACTAATTGACGAACAAAGAAAAAAAAAATATATGTTGAATGAGCAGCAATTAAGGCAGGTAATGAAGTAATAATGATTCTCTTGTACCTGAATCCGGACATAGTTACTGCTCCAGCTGTGACCGAAAGCCATAGCCACGGCGTGGTCAACCAGCTCAGCCGAGCCGTCCCCAGATATCCGAGCCAGGGGGCGAGCCCAGTCCTTAGCCGTCCATCTCCTGACCTGCTCGCAGTCAAAGCTGCCCTCCAACAGCTGCCCACCCCCAGTCCCAACTGAAAGGACCAAAATGTCCTCAACCCCTCTCACAAACGGGAATTCCTGCTTGTTGTGCAGCACGTGGGTTATGGCAGCCGCCGCCGGGTTGCTCATGGCTATCCGGCCGTCCACCCCCACGCACTGGGTCGACCCGTCCACGGACCTCAGGCAGACCGGCCCAAACACGCCTGGCTCCGCCGACGTGGCCAGGCACACCTCCCAAAGGTTGAAATCGTAGCTGTCGGCCTCCAGCGCGTCCGCCCGCGAGAACAGAAACGGCGCAGTACTGGACAGATCGTAGCAGGGGATGAGGACGGGCTTCAGCGTGTCCTTCAGGGTCAGGCTCCGCCCCGTCCGCCTGTCCTTGAACGCCCCCCTCATCACCTTCTCCAGGCCGGCCTCGCTGCCGCCGGTTTTCTTCAGGACGCGCTTGAGGAACCCCCCGCGCTTCCTCGTGGCCCTGCAGAATTTCTCGCCATCCGTCGCGAGGAAGCGCCACGTGTCGTCCGCGTGGAAAATCGGGCGGCTCCGGTCGCCCGATGCGAAGAGCATCGCCGTGAACACCCCGCCGATTCCACTACCGGCGGCGACGTCGAAGTAGTCGGCGATTCGTGCGTCGGGGTCTCCAGATTTGTTCCTCAGGGCAGTTTCCAGATACGACAGCGTTTTGCCCGATATGATGCTCCGCATCCCACCGCCGTCGACGCTGAGTATGCATATTTTGCCCCTCTGATTCTTCACCTCCTGAACGCCGCCGTTGGAGGCGGTGATTTGCTTGGGGACCCAAAGCTTGCGATCATCGTAGCCGAATAGGAACTTGCTCTCCAAGATGGAGAAAATCTCGTAGCTCAATTTGTTGGTGTCGATGCTCGGCTCCTCGCACAATTCCACCATTGGATTCTCCTTTTTCCCATCTTTATCAACTACGCCCGCCATTTCCTGTTAGACTTGGGGAGAGAAGGAAAGAGGGGAATAGCATAATAAACAGGAGGTCAGAATGCAGTTTTTTATTTTGCTGTTCTGCTCCAAAATTTCCAATTTATAAAAAACGAAGGCCTTAATATTAAATAAATCTTTGACTCAAAAATATAAAATCAGACCCAGAAAGGAAAAGAATCAATCCGGAATAGAATTTTCGTTTCTAGCGAGCGCGCCATGTTATATAGATTTTGCACAACTTTGTAATTGCATATGAAGTAGATTATGATACTATTTTGTCATTTGCTTGAAATTAGAGTACTATTAGTTGAGATCGAGCTTAGGGTGTTCAAGTTGAAACTTGAGCCCTTAATCAGTCGAGCTGAGTTCGGCTCGTTAAATAAACGAGGTAAGATAGTGATTTTGACAGTAATTCGAAATCTAAAACTGTTCTTTCATTTCATGTTTTTTTTTTTTTTTTTTTAAATAGGGTGCTTGAATGCATGACTTGAAAAAAAAGGGGAATATTCAATTATCCTAAACCTTCCTTTTTTTAAGCTATATCCGTACATTTATTCGAACCGAATTGAAGGAACTATTTTTGTAGAATTGGTGATGCTTACATAACTAAGAAAGAATGCGTTGAGCTGTTAATGAACTTGGACATGTGCATGAAGTTTCCTATGTGACAAAAATTTGGTTTTAGATAAAAAGTGAAGATCTCGAAGATTTAGAAAACGATTTTGAACCTACATACTTTTTAGGAGAAATTGAATATAGCAACCATTTCTTTATTCTAGAGTTAGAATGGATACGAAAGAATATTTTTACTTAAGGGTCATAGAGACCTCTCGGGCGTTTAGTTTATTTTTATAATTAGTGTTCAATTCGAAGTGTTAGTTTATCACTTAGAATTTGAAGTACAACTCTTTGTAATCCATTTTTACGTTTTGGGACGAGCATCTTTCACTGCTCGGAAGGATTTGTGTATGCAACCAAAGTCCACGTCGTGGCCAGAAGACTAATTAAGACGGTGGATTGCAAAGTAGGTTAATTAGGAAGAGAAGGTCTTCCCTTGTAATTTCTATTGTGCATTTTGGCCAAACATTTACTTAATGAAAGAGTTCTAAAGGAGAGTGAGGTGCGCTCTTAAAAGTTCATTTTTTTTTATTATTATTATTATCAACTTCTGTAAAGTTTATGAACTTATAGTTTTTATAAGATTAAGCGCAACTTTTCTACTCCCCGAAATTTTAATTAGTATGAGAGCAGATTTCCGTTCTAATAAGGAAGATCTTGTGGACAATTACTGGGCAACCATCATGATGGTGGATCTATGTAAGGAGTCAAATTACTCATATTGGAAATCAATTATGACTATATTTTTCCGTTCCCTGGGCAAAGACACGTGGTAACGCGTTGAAGGTAGGTGGAAACATTCAATGATGAGAAGGGCTCCAGACAAGAAAATTTATGAATCACTTGATGAAGTACTCATGTCGCACGACACTTGGACCGATCTAGAATGTATGCAGGAAGAGGCAGATTTCAGATCCTTACATGCCATTATGATAGTCGTCGGTCATACACGACACAAAATAATTGTCCAATGTCCTATTACAAAGGATGCATGGCGTGTCTTGGAAAGTCAATTCGAAGGATCCAATGTTTTAAATCCTCTAAGTTTGAAAGCATCACTTCAACTCCTAATGATATAAAGGTGAAACAGAAAAAGACCATTGACATATACTACTCGATGTTTTGTGACCTTTCAAATCAAAGTACAATGTTGGTAGAAGACATCGCAAAAACTCGAGAAGTTCGAAAAATTTCGGAGAGATGCCCGACTCACTTACATGAAAAGATCACGACACTAAAAAATTTTCAACGAGTTAAACCTCTAAATCTCGATATGACCTTGTTTGAGATCAAAAGTCAAACCGTAGTAAATCTGACTCCCTTTGCCGACGTGTCAACTTGGTTTTCTTTTCCCTCACCAATGATATCCTTCCACGTGTATATCTTCTCCAGCGTGTTTTTCGTGCACCGCCATTTTCTGCGTCTCCATTTTCACGCACTATTCCACTTCCCTTCACGTTTTTCCTCAAACACCAAATAACTTTTGACAAAATAATAATTAGTGTTTTTTTTTGCAAAGAAATTAGAGTTCGTACCTCGCAATGACGATGAAGTATCTAATCATGCTTCCCATTTTCCTCTGCTTGATAAGCTCAAACTTGTTGATTTGTTCTTCGAAACCAGAAGAGGACGACGATCTCAGTTTCCTGCAGCAGCAGCAGCAGGAGAATGAAGCCGTACCGTCGCAGGATGCGCTTCATTACGGCCACGACTACGAAAACTACGATGATCTGGAGGACGACGACGACTTGTCGGCCTACGCCGACGACGAGGAGGACGGAGGCTATGGTGCGCCTGAGGTGGACGAGAGCCACGTGGTAGTGCTGAAGGGATCCAACTTCAGTGAGTTCATCGAGAGGAACAGGTTCGCGATGGTGGAGTTCTACGCCCCGTGGTGCGGCCACTGCCAGGCTCTCGCGCCGGAATACGCCGCAGCGGCGGAGGAGTTGAAGGAAGAGGCGGTGGCTCTTGCAAAGGTCGATGCCTCTGAGGAGGAGGAGCTGAGCCAGAAGTTCGATGTGCAGGGGTTTCCCACGATTTACTTTTTCGTGGAAGGGGTTCATAAACCCTACACTGGTCAGCGAACTAAGTAAGATTTCTATGCATTTTTCTTTCTCTCTTTTTTCTCATTTTCGTTTCCTAATGCTTATGGATTACTTTAACCTGATCTGAAATTTGGCTTTCTTAAATATCGAAATTCAACTTGTTGGTAGGAATTTACAGAATTTCTATCATTAGTATTCGGATTTATTCAAGATATATATTCATTTTTTTTTCTTTTCTCATATTGTACAACTCAATGAGTCTAATTTTCAGATATATTTGAATTAATGTTGATGATTTCGACTTTCCTTTTGGCCAATGCTCTCTATTTTGTTAAAAGTTGATTCACTTTCCTTCCGTTGTTTGATAAGTAGTCGAGTTGATGCTGTCTGTGCTGTATTCAAGTTTGTGAGGAACTGTTCACCACATATTAGAAGCTCTTACGCTTTGAATCGATTATGGTATTTACTAGGCTATTGTTTTCTGTTGCAGAGATGCTATTGTTACATGGTTGAAGAAGAAGATAGGCCCAGGTTTATTTAATATAACATCCATTGAAGAAGCAGAGCAAATCTTGGCCAAAGAGGACAAAGTTGTTCTGGGATACTTAGAGAGTTTGGTGGTACGATCTCTATTATTGTTTTACTGCGTCATCTGCGTTTTATGTAATTTCTGTTTAGTTCTTTACATTATTGAATTCCCTGTGTCTGTCAAAATTTTGTTGATACTTGATATATAGGTTGTCCTTTGAATTCATCTAATCATTGAGATCAATGTGTTGTTGATGCAAACGAATTTATGCATTTCAGCAGTAGATACAACGTTGGTATTTTCTGCCACATTATGAAATTGACAGTAAATTTTTGTTTTTTCACATGGAAGAATTGGATTTGGATCTGATCAACAAATATTATAAATAGTAAACAGGATGAACTCTGGTCAAACATGAATTGATCCAACCTTTGGCTCATGACTTGTTTATGTCGTTCTGTTGCATTTTTGTTGTATTATATAATTATGTAGGTTATTTGGTATGATGATTGAATGCTTGGAAACTTTTTAATGTCGTAAATATGGCTTCCAAGTTCACAATTATCACACACATTTGAGATAAATGGCTAGTTTATTCAAGACGGTTCTTTTGGAATGGGATCAGGTCATATGTAAATAAATCAGGACGAGTTTCAAGTGATGAACGACATGTATAACTGAACAGCCATGTCAGGTCTCGAGATTCACTGTGAATATTGTGTCTTTACCCGCACCTGAAAAATTAAAACCCAATAAAATTTCACATTGAAGTATATGTATCCATGTAGCTAAAGATTTAGTAGAAATGGAGTGGTTGGTTGCAGGAAAATGCTGGTTCTTGGATGGGTTTTCTTCTTAATTACCTAAAACTTGCAGGGTTTGGACAGCGAGGAACTTGCTGCTGCTTCAAAACAGGAAGACGATGTTACCTTTTACCAAACTACCAGTCCAGATGTGGCAAAGCTTTTCCAAATTGATTCACATGTCAAACGGCCATCTTTGGTCATTCTTAAAAAAGAAGCTGAAAAGTTTACTCAATTCAGTAAGTTTTTTCTTAGCCAAACATCTTTGGCATCTTAAATTTTGTTTGGAACAAATTTCTTAACTGTTCCCTATTTACAGGTGGTAGATTTACAAAATCTGCAATTAGTGAATTTGTGTTTGAAAATAAGCTCACTCTTGTCACCAATTTTACTCGGGAAAGTGCTCCATTAGTGTTTGAGAATCCAATAAAGAAACAGGTATGGCTTGCTTGTTTCTCTGTGCAGTAGTGGATTGTTTGAAGCATTTGTTTGCCTGTGGGTTAATTCCTCAGTTGTGTTGTCACAGCTGATACTTTTTGCAACTTCTAGTGACTCAGAGAAATTCTATCCCAATTTCCTGGAAGCAGCAAAGGCATTCCGCGGAAAGGTGAGGAATTACTTTTCACTTTGCATTGAACCATAAGATTTACTTGCAAGATTCTTGACTTGATTAGATCATTTAGTAATGATTTGTGGAATGTCAATTAGCAGAATTTGCATTGACCAAGATCTTGTTGATGAGAATCTCATTTAATCCTTCGTTTGGAACATCCAATTCGGTTAATTCGTGATACTTTATTTGGAAGCTTAATTTAGTTCTCATTTTTTATTAGCTGAGCAGCAAGCAAAATAAATCACAAAAGATATCGGCGCTAAACAGTTCCATTATGGATGTGAAATTATTATTGTTATACTATATATATATATACACACACATGTATTTTTTTTTTTTTCAAAAAAACTGATGGCTGATGTTGCTTAGATGAATTCTCAAATTTCTTCTTATTCTGTTTGGTCCTTCTCCAGATGAATACTACTTCCAAATTCCTAACTATTATTTTTTTTAAAGAAATACTCCAATGCAAGTATTTATCGTAAGTGCACGAGAGGTCAATTTTATTCTGAAATTTATTTATTTATTTATTTATTTTTTTTATTTATTTTTTTTTTTTTTTCTGACCGACTGAGATATATTTTTCTTATATTTTGAAGCTTATATGTGTTTATGTGGAATTGGACAATGAAGATGTTGGGAAAGAGGTTTCGGAGTACTTTGGAGTGAGTCGAGAAGCTCCAAGTGTAAGCGTACAACTTAAGCAACTTATCAGTTTTTATTAAGGTTACTTGCTCTTAGAGTATGGCAAATAATAATTTTGGGTGCAGGTTCTTGCATATACAGGTAATGATGACTCAAGAAAATTTCTATTGGATGGTGAATTGACAGTTAATAATATCAAGGTACTGCTGGCTTGCATACAATTATTTCTTTGTGAACATGATGTGGGTTTTATGGTTTTATCTAACAAATTCTGTTTTTATGTGTAGTCTTTTGGTGAGAAGTTTCTGAGTGACAATCTCAAGCCTTTCTACAAATCTGACCCTGTCCCAGAGAATGTAAGTTTGAATAAATTATTCTTAATTATTGAAAGACACTCGTGAATTTCTGTCTATAACCCAGACTACCCAGTTGTATCTTTGAATTACAAATCCCCCCAGTTATTAAATTTCGTGATACAATTTACACCCTCGACAAGAAATCATAGGTAGTATGTTAAAGTAAATATAAAATCCAATGAGACCAAAAGAGACTGATTTGAATCAGCTAGATTTTCATAATTGAGGTGCTAATGTAAGTCCTCTTTCCAACATCTCACTCACTTTCCGATTCAGAATGATGGGGATGTCAAGACTGTGGTTGGCAACAACTTTGATGATATAGTTTTGGACGAGTCGAAAGATGTTCTTCTTGAGGTATTACTTTATTCGTTGGTGAAGTTAACCAAATTTGGACTTTGAAGAATTTTTTTTATGTTTAATTTGCAGTTGTGTGTTTTTTGGTGATTGTTCATGTTATAATAGATATATGCTCCTTGGTGTGGGCATTGCCAAGCCTTGGAGCCTATATATAACAAGCTTGCCAAGCATTTAAGAGGTATTGATTCTCTCGTTATAGCTAAGATGGATGGCACTACAAATGAACACCCACGAGCGAAGGTACTTTCCCTTTTGCTTGTATGAATTCTTATATTTTTTAATATTTGATGCTAATCTGGTTTTGTTACTTTTGCAGCCAGATGGCTTCCCAACAATTCTGTTCTTCCCAGCCGGGAACAAGAGTTTTGATCCAGTTAGATTCTTTATACTTTTCTACCATCCAATCTCTTTATGCTTAACATTTTAATCGACTTTTCTAACATTTTGATTGACATCATATCTTTTACAGATCACTTTTGACTCGGATCGAACAGTGGTGGCTTTCTACAAGTTCCTAAAGAAACATGCATCTATTCCGTTTAAGCTCCAAAAGCCGGAAAAGAACACTGCTCCCAAAATCACTAGTTCTAGCCAAGAAGACAGCACCAGCTTCAACGTTAAAGACGAATTATAATGGACACCTCATCTGAATCGGCCCGATCATTGCATGAATGATGTTCAAGAGTGACGAATAGCAAGTGTACAAGGAGAGTGCACTATCGTCTAATCATGGTTACTAATACTTTTTGCTAAATGCGGGTACTTATAACTCACTTTAAAGGTGGGAGAAGTAAGTAGAAGTATAATTTTTAGATGTGATTTTTGGTTGTGTTTGTGCTAAATATATACAATGTATTTTGGGAGCCATTATATTTGCATCATACAAAATAACATGCCCATTCTTATGTTAGGTGTGTAATCTCGGACGGGTGATTGACCTTGGCTGGCCAACGAGTTTCCGGTCCAATCCTCTGAGTCACTTGGTCACTTGTTGAATCAAATAATTATTAATTTTAAAATTTTTAAATTATATTTATGTTATTTGTGCCATATAATTATACATAAAAACAACAAAAAGAAATAAATTATATTTAAATTTTATATTTCAAAGTCTTAATACTATTCTATCTTGTTATAAACACTTACCACAATATATATATGCAATTAATCTTGTTTTGGAATTGTTTTCCAAAATTAAAGAAGTTTAAGAAATGGGACATAATGAAGTAAATAAAAATAATTCTTTACCATTAGGTAAATCGAGTCAACGATAATAATCAAGTCAAACTTTAGTAAATGACAGTTTAACATGTGGTGACAATTTTGAAAATAAATGTAGTAAATAAATGTACATGTCAAGAACAAATGTATACCACTCAATATGGGTAAAGTGGTCATTACACAGTCAATCCATACACCAACTAGCAGTGGGCCTCACCCACCAACACGTCCCCACTCCCCACCCATCTCTTTCTCCTCTCTTTCTCTCAGTCACAATTCAAACACAAACAAACACATCCGCTGATGGAGACAAGATCGCGATGGCGTTTCTACAGAAATTCGACCGGATGCCTTCTTTAGTCTAATTATTTATTTCCTAGCTTCTATTATTATTCCATATTTTTATTTAATATTTATTTAAATAATATTCCCTTGTTTAGGATGTTTAGGAAACCTAGGATTTTGGGGTTATTTATTCCCTTCTTCTCTGTTATGAAGACAATCATCGTTGAATAAAAATTAAGAACTTTGAGATTTCATCTCTTGTTTTCCTATTGTTTATCGCTGCGCTACATCATCCGCCCTGTCGCCCGCCACCACAAGTCCCGTCCCAGTCACAACTCGCTGCCGCTAACTGCCCCGTCAGTCAAGTCGTTCCGGCACCAAAACCCACCTTAGCCACAGTCGTTGAGCGCGCTAGTACTCACGACGAGAGCAGCAATGTCACTGGTAGATAGCTGGCTCTGATGCTTCTCTACAAAGAGGACGACGTATAGTCAGCTCAAACTCGTCGCCGACGTTGGAAGGAGAGAGACGAGGCCAAATGCATTTTGCGATCTGATTTGCTGATCGATTGGAGACACCCATACTGCATGTTTTGCGTTTTACAGTACAAGTGGAGAAGGTCTTAAAGAGCATGGTCTGGAATGTGCCTAAGACTTTGTTCAATATTTTTTATTCTCCATTTTCTAAAACCCATATAATTTTTCCAACACGTATCGTGTATAATTATGTATGCTTGAGTAATATATCACTTCTATTAATTAAATTAGTGAATTAGTGAAAATATATACATTAGACAACAATAGATCGTGTTTGTCAATTACACTAAATATGCATATTTTAAAACTGAAATGTCGTATTCTAAAACACAATATAAACAAGAACATAACATTTTATATGAAATACTTTGATGGATGCACCATGGACGAGTCATAAGCTACTTTACACAAAAATAAATTTGTGATTTTTTTTTTTTAATGGCAGTATTTTTTTTTACCACACTCCACAGGATAAGCACTACAATTACATTTGTAACCCTAGGGGTATTTATAGGGGTTGAAGGCCTGTGTCTTCGTACAACAGGTGAGAAGCAGTTGGGATTAAATAGACAGAAAATGAACGCCATGGCCTTTCTTCTGCTTGCCCTCCTCCTACTACACAGCTAAACTGGTGAGCGTCTTTGCACCGCTCTCGATTTCTCTGTATTTCAAAAATTTTTCCTTTCATTTTCTCATTTTAAAACGAAACTGGTGCATGCAGAGGGTACCAGCAATCGATTGCTGTTAGGTTTTCCCTTTTCTTCTCGTTTTCAATTTGAAGTCTTTTTGTGCACTGGAACAAGTTTTAAAGATGAAACCTGAACTATAAGCGCATTTTCGTAGCTATTTGATTTATCGGTGCTTATGCCCGTTAAATGATGTGGAGAAACAAGTAGGTGGGATGGGTGTAGTGCGTGATTAATTATGTTTCCATGTAAAATCTTTTAGGAATGAACAATTAGAAGGCACTTGTTGTTGTTGATGATATCATTGGCGTGAAGTTTGATTTTGGTGAATTTTTGTTTTTTTCGAAACGAAAAAGGAAATCATTTACTTTTTTGGAGATGAGTTGTTCGTTTCGATCCTTGTATCCTGATATGAAGAAGATGTGTCTGTATGTGAATCTTGATATGGTTCAGTTTCCTAGCTGTAGAGATTGGGCTAAATGAGTACACCAGCTTATAGCAATTTAATGATTCGTGTTATTGCCATCTTCAGGTGGTAGAGCTAATTTTTCGCCTAACAAAATATTTTGCAAGGTAAAGTAATTACGTTAGTGTCCACGTGTTGCGAGTGTACCCAACCCAACAATAGTTTGTAATGAGACCCCCTGATATTAAAGTCTTCCTCAATGCCAATGGCTTATGCTTTCCATAAACGGAAAATATATAATACAAACTTTTGTTCTAAACTAGGATGGATAGATGGTTCTCCCTTTTGGATTGGTCGTCCATATAAAAAAATGTTACATCTCTGTGCTGTTTGGAAATTCTGTTCTCATTTTTGTCAGCACCATATGTTGAAAAAAATTTAATATGAATACAATTAATTGAGCTTATCTATGTTGTATTGCTTTTAATGTTACACTTCTCTTCTTGTAGTCTTAGGAATATATGTTTTATTATGTTTTGGAAGTTATGTGTTATTAACAGTGTTTTCACCCTCTTATTACATGGTACAGACTCCACATTGATACTATACTGCAGAATATTCTCAAGAGAGAAGCTTGCTGGAGAACAGATTGTTCGGTCTTGTAAGTTTCCTGCTGAGCGAGGTGCAATTTTTTAAGTGCAGTAATTTTTCACTTACAGATAGAACTGGAAAGAAAGAAAAAAAAAATGCTATGTGAATAAATAGATGAATAAAAATGATGAGCAAGTAGTACTATCTGCTGTGTGTTGATGATTATTTATTGCAACATTCATGAGGACCTGGATAATTGCAGAAGAACTTAGTTATATCCCAAAGTTATATTTGCCCCTTCATCTAGAGTTACTTCTTTTATGTAATGGCTCAAGGGGTTAATGTTAATTTGAACGACAAACAGATTCAATCATTTTTTATTAGACTAGGCGTCAAGGTAGTTTTTGTATTTTGACATAAATTTGTGGTCAAAGTTACTTTGGAAGAATTACAAAAATATCATTGAAGTTTGGTTAGATTACTGAGGAATCTATATGATTTTGAAAAAAAAAATAAAAAAATAAAAATAATCTACCTCAAGGTTACATTCATATATTTTGCATCTACCTCTTAACAGAAATTGCTGGACTCATTACTTGCTTTTACAACTACCCAAGAAAAATGAGGAATAAAACAGACGAGTTGAGAACGGGAAACCGGAAATCAAAAAATGTTACCAAGAAGAGGAATTCCTCCTGCCTTACAACCATCGCAACCGATCCCGATTTCAATCAAACACTTTCAGATTTAAAGCGGCGGAAAATTAAATCATCAAAAACTACTTCTTCATCATCCGGTGCTCCTGACAATTCTCCAACGTCGAGGAAAACAAAAAAGTTCATCGGCCGATTCTTTTACGAGAATGGTCTTGATATCAACGCCGTCAGCTCGCCCGCATTCCGGAGAATGATTGCCCATTTCTCCGAAAACACAAAACGCCCGATCGAAATCCCGACCCGCCGGGAGCTAAAAGGATGGATCTTTAACGATGCCATGGGAGAAATCCTCGAATACCTCGACAGAATTCGAAGCTCGTGGAGCGAAACGGGCTGCACGATTCTGCTCGATGGGTGGACCGACAAAACGGGCCGTGAGCTGGTCAATGTTCTGGTCGAGAGCCCAAAGGGCACTGTCTTCTTACGCTCGTCCGATATTTCGGACTGCATAGGGAACAAAGACGCCATGCTGGCGTTCCTCGATCGGATACTAGAGGAAGTGGGACCCGCTAATGTCGTCCAGATCATGACCTACTCGATTTCATCCTTCATGAAGGAGGTTGGCTGGCGGTTAATGGAGCGGCACCGCTCGATTTTTTGGACAGTCGACTCGTCCCGTTGCATCGAGCTCATGCTAGAGAAAATGAAGTCGATAAGCCCCGTTCGGGAGACGCTCGACCGGATGAGAATCGTCACGGAGTTCATCCATGGCAACCCGAACGCACAAAAACTACTCGGAAAATCGACCGAGCAATCGAGACTGAGTTCGATGGAGCCCTTCATGATGCTCGAGAATCTCTGCTCGCAAGCAGAAGAGCTGAAGAGCATGTTTCTCTCTCCCGGTTCGGAATTTTCCTTGACAGAAAGTGGGAAAAGGGTAGCCAGCTTGATCGGAGACCGATCTTTCTGGAGTGGGGTGAAGACCACACTTCGGGCGGCTATGCCGCTCGTTATGGTTGTGGAGTGGATGGATAACAACAGAAAGGATCAGATTGGGTATATATACGAGACGATTGACCAAGTCAAAGAGAATATCAGAAAGGAGTTGGGTGAGAAGAGATGTGAGTACAAGCGATTTTGGAAAGTGATTGATGACGTGTGGTCGGGTTTTCTGTACAGCCCTCTTCATTCCGGGGGTTACTTCTTTAACCCGAACCTTTTCTACTCGGAAGATGTTTGTGTCGACCCGGAAGTTGCCACGGGATTGGTCTGTTGTGTTGTTCGAGCTGAGGAGGATATGCGGATACAGGACCGGATTCTTTTTCAGATTGAAAAGTATAGAGTTGGTGCTGGTGGGTTCCGGTTGGGGTGTGCTGATGGTGAATTTGATGTGTCTCCAGGTTAATTGGTCAATTTATTTATTTATTTACTTTTTTTTTTTTTTGGTGCTCATTTGATGTCTTAATGATGTGATTCTTTGGAAAAATTGAGAAATTAACTTGGATAGAAGAACACTGCATAGCATCATTTTTCATGATTGCTAATGTGACAGAATCTCCTGAACTCTGTTTTTAAGCACAAGTGATTTGATCTCAATGTTTTCTTATTTATCACATTTGCATAGATTTATTTTTCTTGATTTTCAAATGTGTACTACATTTATAATTACTTAATTAGATATTGTTCCCTTGGAAATTTTTGTTAATAGTTAAAGGAACATAGTTGACTAATTCACTTTCCAATCACTCACCCGAAATTTCTTCACTAGCGAACTTCTCATAAGCATTAGCATTGTTCCCATGAAGAAGATGTCCACAGTATTTCTGATAAAGTTACAGATAAAATTGGATCAGATGTCCATTAGAATGACGATAATTTAAATCTCCGACAAAAGACATTTATTCAGACATAGGCAGAGCATAGATATGTATAAATATTCTCGAAAACTGATCTAGATTTGAGTTTTGCTACATGTAATTTTTTCTCTCTTGCAGTGAAGTGGTGGTCCGACTATGGCACAGA